CCTGGTGATTGGCCCAAAGTCATCCAGCCAGCTTTTCTGTCTAAGGCGGGATTAGAACTCACAGTCTCCTGGTGATTGGCCCAAAGTCATCCAGCCAGCTTTTATGTCTAAGGCGGGATTAGAACTCACAGTCTCCTGGTGATTGGCCCAAAGTCACCTAGCTGATTTTCATGCCTAAGGGAGCCTAGAACCCATTTTCTCATGGTTTCTAGGCCAGCACCTTGACCACTACACCAAACTGGCTTTTTCGCTCTGTCTCTGTGTCGGTTGGGTAGTTATCCTGGGAAACTCCAGGCAAGTCATATAGGAGCCTTCCCCAATTTTTTCCTCCACGACAACGCTGTGGGATAGGTAAGGTTGAGAGGGAATGGCTGACTCAAAGAGTTACCCAAAAAAGTTTCCATGACTAAGGGGGTAATATTCAGTCACCCATTTCATGTAGGTGATTCTGGATGGTGCGCACAATTAAGAAGAAACCAGAGTAAATAAAACAAAGCCATTGAAGCAATTAGAACAATTACAAGCTATATGTGGGAGAGTCTATTTAGAGTCCTACATATGAAATAACTATTTTGCAGTTTTGAGGCTAATTCTGATCTAGCCACTTAATCCAGGCCTTGTACTGCTTACTTTTCCAATGGCATTCCTTCTTACAGGATAATATATTTTTAGGCTAGAAGCTATCAAAACCTTGCTCTCATTTGATGAGATTCCGTTTTTTGACAGTGCATATTGGTGATAACTAAAAACGTTTTGCATTTTATAGGTCCGAAAAAACTTTTTGGGATTATCACTGGGTGACTTTGGGTCAGTTGTTTTCCCAGTCTAACATACTGCGCAGGGTTGTTGTAAAACAAATTGGGAAAAGGGCTGCTTTACTAATGGTAATAGCAAAGAAAAAAAATCATTCAGCTACATTTATAAAAGTATTGCATTTTTTTATTTTTGTATCTTTCTCTTTGATAGACAGGAGGTAGCAAAGGTTATGCTTTTGTGGAATTTGAATATGATGAAATTGCAAAGATAGCTGCAGATACCATGAACAATTACCTTATCCGTGAAAAACTCTTGAAATGTGAGTATATCCCAGTTTGTTAAATATAGCAGTTCCATGAAAGAGTCACTTATGTTGAAATTACCCCATTAAAGGTCCCTTTTTTTCCTTTACAATTTATAATTCTCTCGTTGTTGTTTTTTCCTAATTACTCTTTTTTGCAAGGATCATTATTATTCCCTGGTATATTTTACCTGCCTAGTCCATAGTGTGAAGGGAGGGAATGTAACAGCAGGTGTTTCCATGGGGATTTCCTTTCTTTGGAACAATCTGCTCTGTAAAATGAGGGTAGCTTTCACTTTCATAATCTTTTGAAGAGAAGGTACAACTTGACTATTTTTGAAAGGCCTTTGAGAATTGATTGCATGGCTACAAGCACTTTTTAACATATATTAATTGTGTCATATTTTAGAGCTGTCCATTGTTTAGTTAGTCCTTTGGGATTGATGCCATCAATAAATTTTATAAACAATGCAGTATAATTAAATATTTTGCATTGAGATTAGGCATGTCTGCAGCTTTATTCTCCATTATATTGTCTGCTTTGAAATATAATCCAAACCCCCAATATAGCTTTTCCTTTTTTTTACAGCTTACCCAACAGACTGATAGATTATATTCAATTTGTATTGATAGTTAGTAACAGGGAAATGATTGAACACCATACAACATTTAAATCATCCTTGATCTTGCCGAAGTGTTTTATTGATTTATCTGTTTGTATAGATGCTTGGAAGCACTAGCAGACAAATTTATTTCTTTATGGAAGTTATACACCCCCTCAATCTAGCCTGGCTATAGAGGTTTACAAGGACAGTAATAATAGTATTACAATATACAACAACAATAATAATAATAATAATAGAGTTGGAAGGGACCTTGGAGGTCATCTAGTCCAACCCCCTGCTCAGGCAGGAAACCCTATACCATTTCAGATAAATGGCTGTCCAATGTCTTCTTAAAAACTTCCAGTGTTGGAGCATTCACAACTTCCGGAGGCAGGTTGATTAATTGTTGTAACTGTCAGAAAATTTCTCCTTAGTTCTAGGTTGCTTCTCTCTTCAGTTAGTTTCCATCCGTTGCTTCTTGTCCTGCCCTCAGGTGCTTTGGAGAATAGCTTGACTCCTTCTTCTTTGTGGCAATCCCTGAGATATTGGAATGCAGTGTAATAATATAGTATAAAAGTAATCATATTTATTTAGTCAATTTGTATGGCTAAAAATTGGAAATAATATTAAAGTAAACTCAACAGCAATTACAATCAAAAATTAAAATACATAGTCCATATGCAAGAGAGAAACGTGATGAAGACCACAAGGGGAAGCAGTGATCCTCCATATCTCATTTTTTGACTGAAGCCATAATGCCTTGATATTCTGTGTTTAGTAGAATGGACTTGAGGACAATTTCTGTTGCTATTTAAAATATTTTTGGAGAACGCAAGTAAAGTGGAAGTTCTTATAATGGCCTTGCCCTGTTTCTCATGGCTGCTATTGCCTTGACTGCATGTTACAGGTGAGCTTATGCCAGCAGAAAGAGTACATGAAAACCTCTTTAAAGGTTCTGAGCAAAAGTTCAAAAAGCCATCCTATCCAGCAGTAAAACACTACAACCGGAATCGAACAGCACAGGAGAAAGAAAAGATGGCTGAGAGGCTGTTGAAAAAGGAGGACAAGTTGCGAAAAAGGCTGGCTGAGAAAGGAATAGATTATGATTTCCCCGGATTTGTAAGTGAATGTTCTTTTTTTTATAAATAATACTTGGCATAATGAGAAGAATGAGGCATAAACGTGATTATTGCATACTGACCATAAATGTAAATGCCTTGTTAGAATACAAAGGTTATATTGTCATCAGACAATTGGAGATGTGAGACACTTGTGGCTCCCTATGGACTCAAAAGATTGGCATCAGGGTTACTAGTGCTGGGTTTTTAAACACAGGTGTGGGTTTTTCCATCTCTGGGTTTCTAGGATTTTAAAATTTAATGAAATCTAAGTATTTTCTATCCATTATATTGTACGTATTAAGTAGGTAATAATTTAGTTTAAAACTGATTTATTGGGATATCTGGATTTATTTATTTTTTGTCTAGAATCTGGGTTTATTTGAGCATGAAATCTTGGGGGGGGGGGTTAGGAAACCCCATTGGCAACTCTGATTGACAGCCACTTACAACTTTCTTTCTTAAAAAGACACTTGTATCATGCAAGCCGATATTAGTCTTCGCTCTTCAGGTGAAATCTTATAAAGAAGTTATACATTTCTGTCTTGTCCCCCATGGCAAGGAATTAGAAAACTTCCAGATGAAGAAGGCAGAACTGATTTATAAAATAGAAACAATAAATAACACAGGAAGTGGGGAGGAAAGGACTAGAACTAGGACTAGCTCCGTTATTCCTAACTAGGAATCAAATTTAGGGTTTTATAGTCTTTTATTTCTAGCACTTTCACCCTATTTTTAATGAGAACTGTTTGTACTGAGTTTCACAGCTTCAAGACAAACTCAATATGCCAATTGTTTTAAAGACTATTAGTTAACATGTTTATTTTTAAAGTTGAATTACGAGGTAATCTTAATGCTAAGACTCTCTTTCTTAGACTGCTCAGATGCCTCTGATAAAGAAAAAGATGGTTTCAAAATCAGTTTCTAATGAGGAGGCAGCAGTGGAAGATAAAGTAAGTGAAAGTTTGGGGTTTTGAAATCTTCTGAATTATGATTGGCCTTTTATTTGAAGAAGGGAAAAAATATTGGAATACAAGTAGTCCTTGAATTTCAACCATAAATGAGCCAAGAATTATGATTGCAAGTCATGCTGGTCATTAAGCGAGTCATGTTACTGTGCCCACCTTTACAAACCTTTTTTTCCCCCCAGTCATTAAGTAAACCCATTGTATCCAATGGCATTTATTTTTTTTTGCCAGAAATCAGAAGTAAACACCAGTTTCTAGCAAAAAAAAAAGTCATAAATTGTGATCATGAGACCACAAGATGCTGCATAGGTATCATTTCCAAATAATATAGGCTTAGAAATTTAGTCATGGAAAAGACAATAACGAAGTTACCATATTGAATTAAATTTAAAACATTTGGGGGAAATTGTTCTAAGTATTTCCTTCAGAAAGTAACTGTGAAGAGTTCGTCAGCTTTT